TTTTTCTTCCTGGTTCTCATGCGCTGATACATAGCTATGAACATTATTTGCATTGCCAATCGCAGGGAAGGTTGTTTTTTAAAAAAAAAAATCCAGTTAAAATTTCAGTTTGTGGCCCTTACTAATTAATAGTACTCCTTTAAATAAGAGTGTTACCATTTCCTTATTATACTTCTCAAGTATCCTCTCTTAAAATCAACAGGTAAAAATTAAATAGAAAAAACTTATCAACGGGCATCAGAAAAACAGCCACATATTGCAGCATTGTTAACTAGCTACTGAAAATTACAGCTTCATCTCCTGCTCACAGCCAGACCTATATATATTTGGACACTTGCTATCATTACAAATGCAGTGGCTTTAGGTTTGTGCCAGGTAAGAGAGATGAGAATCTGGCTCACAGTCTGCATTTCTAACTCTTCACAGAACAAGAGAATCCAAACATATTTTAGTTCTTTATAGCTGCTCTTCATAGACAACTAAAGTTCTTTATCACAATAAAAACAGAAGGCACTGCCACAGAGTGTAATTACATGCTACTATAGTTGACTGTTGTCTTCCAGAAATAGGAAATGGTTTGAAAAATGCATGGTTTCTGCTTGGGCCATACTCTGAGTTCCTTAAATAAAATGCTACCTCTAATCCCTGTGCAGATAAAATGGGAACTCTGGTATTGTAGGGCTGAGCAAATCTTCAGAGTGGGCTTCAAGATTTGGCTTGACGACAGTCAGCTTTCTGCACCAGTGATTAGCAATGTGTCACCACAGTGGAAAATCAGGTTTAGGCCCTGCTCTCTTTTCACACCACCCAGAAGTTCATGTCCCAGGGATGGGGAAGGACTTAGCTTGTTAGGATTATTTCTCACTCCTCTTTAGTTGCTTAAGAACGCAAAATTTCAAGGCAGCATACCCTATGGCATTCTTCCTTTTGCAGACTACCATTGCAAAAAAAACCACAGATAACACTCAGCACCACACCAAGCAAGGACAACTTACTGTTGCACAAAGCCCTGGCAAAGGAACGCGGACGGGGTTTACATATCCACAGCTGCATCCATGGTTGGCAGCCAGCTGGGAAAAATGTGCTGCTTAGTCTGAAGGTACGTAAACTGTCAGCCAGCCATCACGACAAGTAGGTTTCAAATATCCACTCGGTCCCACATGCCTGATTCCTTGAAAAGGTCTAAATTAGGATTGTTGTACATATGCTAGGATCCCTGGCAAAGTCAAACATTTTGGTAAATGAATCATTATCAGAGATTTCTTTTGAAAATGGACTGTTTTCTCTCACTCTATAGCTGAAAGAGAAGGTTCTTGCTTCTTCTGAAAAAGCATTTGCAAAAAAAAAAAAGGTGCCTACTAGAATGTAATTATTGTGCCAAGTAATTATCAATAAATTAGAAAAAGTACAGAAGACTCAAAAAAGCTCCATAAAGATGAGTGAATGTGATCTGGAAGAGGTGCCTATGAATCACATGCCATTTCTCTATTACCATAAAATAATACTGGTTCATGCATTTTACTATGAAACTTTCTGCTGAAGATGTCACAGATTTTTATAAACATTAATTTAGCCTTGCAACCTCCCAGGAAGGGAAGCACCATCTCCATACAGAAAAGCTCAGGAGGCAGAAATGTGCCATTCACCTCATGCAACACAAGGAGGCTGCAGCAGAGCTGGGAAGAGAATGCAGACCGTTGCCTCCCATTTTGTACACTAACCACAAGATCATCAAATGTCACCCATTTATTTTATCTCCTCAGAAAAACATTTTTGATCATCTGTTTCTTTTCTTAGTGAGTAATTTTTTTTGACAGCGAACTGCAGTATAACTGACAGCCCCAAATGCCTTTAGAAAAGGTAGACAGGAGCGATGCAGCACAATGGGGCCACAACATACAGACAGGTCTTCCACAAACTTAGCTAAATACCTTGCCCATTACACCTTATCCACTGTGAACTGTGATTTAAGGTGAGTAAACATGTTTCTTCCCTAAACCCCAGAATTTCACAGTCTTCAAGCAACCGTTTTGCAGTACAGAACCGTGCACACTGTTGGCACACCACACTAACAACACATAAAAGAAACTGTGACTCAATTTTAAAGTGAAATATTATTTGCTGCTGAGAAAATCATTCAGGTTATTAAAGGCATGTTCTTTCAAAAGCACGTCAACATAATTAAGCCCGCCCTTCCACAGCTTGGGTTATTCACATAGTTTAATTCATTCCCTGTCCCTACTCCAGGGATCTTTTACTTTAGTAAGAGTTGTCTCCCCCTGCTCTGTGCTTTTTCCACTCCATCCCTTTTCAGTACTTGCCTCTCTCCTCATCCTGCTCTCTCGCCATTACTAGTCTCTTCCCCTCCTTTCTTTACAGTCATTTCCATTTTCTTTGAAATGTTTTGGCATTTAAAGCTGGCTTTATTCTTCCTTCTCCATCTGCTGCTCTTGTCTTTCTAAATCTCTTCTGGAGCCTTCTCTTGGGAGAAAGCAAGAGCCACGTTTTCCATTTCTTGCCTTCTCTTTCTGGATTTCAGTTCCCTTCTTTTTCTTTATGGACTTGGAATCAGACAATCCTCCTCTCCCTGGAAGCTGATATACCAGCTACAATGTCTTCTTACCAGCCCCAGGACAGCTGGCACCATGCTGTACTGTATCTGCCACTCCCTTTGAACACAAGTATCTCAGGAAAGGCACTGTTAAGTATTTGGCATTTCTCCTATATACTACAAGAGCAATAGTACAGAAAGCAAAATTACTGGTAGGTTTTACTCCCCTGCCTTCTACTCAACATTTGTGGAATCTCCTGGCCATAGAGACTTGCTCCACCAGCTACAATCCAATTTTAAAGGGAGTTTCCCCCTCCTTAAGGGTTCTCTTGTCTCTAAAATCTTCTATTTCATTATCAGGACATACAGGCAACAAAGGAGAAATAACCAAGCTTAACTACTAACACTGCCTTTACACAAATCTCCCCTATATTGTCTTTCCAACAACATATTTTAATTTGGGACTCAAAGGCTAAACTCTAAGTAAGACGTGTCTTCCTAGCCTGCTCACTTGGCCTCTGTTCCCAGACAAGGGAAATAGCTGTAACAAGTAAGATGATATGGACATTTGCCAATTAGAAGCACAACAAACTCCTTTTGGGAAATATTCAGCCATAGCTGCATGTGTACCATTTAACTAATACATAAGACATAATACAAACTGATCACAGATTAAGCAAAGTAAATATGAAGAGAATGGTGAAAGGATTTCTTCTGTTACAATTTTTGTTTATTTCCAAACTTCAATCTAAAGCCTGACTTTCTGTGAAAGTTTTCCTCATATTTGTTATTAGCCAATGTATTTAACTGTTTGTTATTGTACCTTAGCACTGGGAATGATGCCTTCTAAAAGTTTTTGCTCTCAGAAAGCCTAAAGGAAAATAAACACCTGAAAGTTAAAAAAAAACAAACAAAAACCCTTGCAGCCAGCAAGATGGATTTTGCAAAGAGGGATAAGATTTAAGTCATAAAAAATACAAATCTTTTACAGTTACAGTTATGTTGCCAACACACAGAAATAAAATATAAGAAATGAACCATTTATCAAGGATTCCAAAATAAAGTGAACAGGAACATTAGCAAATGCCAAAGCTTATAAAAGCCTCAAAACACTAAGATCCTCACTTCTACCACAAACTTAAAAGATACAGCACAACAGTCAGTTGTTTCTTAGTTTTGTTTTATACATTTCACACACCAGCTTTCCTCTGGTCACAGAGATTTTGCTTTATTCAATGCCTAGAGTATATTTGACTGATGAATGAACAGCAGCTACCAAAGCAGTGGAGTGGAGAATCCGACACCTATTTCTCTCAAGGTTTTCCACTGTTGTTTTTAAACAAATTTTTTAAACACAAAGCATATTCCCATGGATTTATTACAAGCTAAAAGGGAAATATGTATTTAACAAGATATAACTTATCTGAAACATGTTCAGCTAAAACCCAAAAAGAAACCAAGAAGGAACACGATATGCTCATTCTGCCCCACTCTCCTCTGGCAGTTTGATGTTTATGGTCTCCTACTTCCCATTTGAAAACAGCAAATTCTCATGGCTACAAGCGATTATATACAAAACCATGGCAAGTGCACCAGCACAAAAAGTGAGAACAGAGAAAATAATTCACTCAGTTAATTATTTGAAAGTTATTTACAATGATAATAACAACAGACTTTCAGATAGAAGCCTGATTTAAGCTGACTGACTCTTTCAGCATTTCTGAAGAAATTATGTATTATAAAACTAATTCAGTGAAAAAATAAAGTAAAAATAGAAGCGATGAGACATCTTCTAAATAAGCAAAGCTGCTTTTACAGCACACTGAATAACTAGAGTGTGGTAAACATACCACTGTTATAAATAACATCCAGCCTTTTGACATTATTCCTGAGTTAATTATTTTGAACTCTTTATAAGTATTAATGAAGCAAGCCTCATGATTCTCCTGCAAAGTGAAGAGAATTACTCCCATATACAGGAGGAAAAATTAAGATACAGGGACAGAAAACAACCCTCCAAAGTTACAGTGGCGCACTTGTACAGAGAATTCAGGAGGTCTCAGTATAAGAGAAAAACCATCCTCTCATCCAGATGAGAGTGCTTACTAAGTGACCAGTTTGTAGGATTTACACATCATTTAATTTTACACAAAATGTTGCATCAACATTTTTAGATTTAACCATGACTAGTAAACGACCAAGACATATCAAAGTTTTACACTGGTAAGTAAGGCCCAAACAAATTATTTTTAAATGGAAATTATTTCTCCCTGCTGAGGCACTTTGTGTTCTGCTTCAACACCTAATCATAAAACCATTAAAAATAACATTTCATGTTAAAAATGCTGGCAGCTGCCAAAGTACCATATACACCACTTTGTCAGATTATAGATAAATAAACACCAAGACCTAGCACAACACTGATTAGTAAGTAATTGTGTCTCATTACCTTTGTAGTCTTCTTGGGCCAGCTGACCACAGGGACACCCGAAATGGCAAGATTTTGGTCATCATCAGCATGTTCCTTCAGTATGTTCTGTTGCAAATGAAAAGGCCTTTATTAGCCAGAGAAATACTTCTCAAACTGAAGAGAGCAGAGACTTACAGGAGAAAATGCTCCACTCTGATGAAAGATATAGAGTGACAAGATCTTTGCTGACTTGTTACATCTCTGCAAGTTACTTTTGCTTCCAAACTTCCAATTCACACTAAAACTCTTGCACCTGTCATTAAGATCCAAGATGTGAAGTTTCTTGCAAAACAGACAGCAAAATCAGCCATTAATCACCTCAAATATTAGAGACTTTAAAACTGGTGTGTCCAAAGGACTGGTGTTTTTCTACTGGTATCAGTCCAATACCAGTATCACTTCCCCCTTTAAACTCTAGCTCACTAAATCCCAAATGACCCCACCAGTCACCACAACCAACACCTTCTCTCCTCATCAAGTCTACAAAAGACCTGAGAAACATCTGCTCTGCCACGATTATTTCTGCAGTCAGAGGGCGTCAGCTGTGTAGTTTAGAGCAATCCTCAGATGCCTGAACATTCAGGTAAATCTAGATATAGAAGCCTGTGCACTGCAACCTTTCACTTTTTTGCACGTGGCAGTTCAAGAGCATCATCATTTCCACTGGCCACCTTTCCACACTAATGGGCAGGCCAGAGCTGTTGTAATCTACTTCACTTTATGTGATCGGGTAAGGCAGGTTCCTGGGTATTCACTAGGAAAGGATCTGACTCTGGACAGTACAGTATTAAGGAAGAAAGATTGTTCTCCCCTCCCTTCCACCCCCACCAAATCCTTTTGCTTTGATGCACTGTCCTAGAAATTTCATGAGTGGGTTGCACTGGCTTACACAGCTTTTACCGCTGTGAATCACTCCCATGACCATATAACTCAACAGAGAGGTGTAAGCGTACTCAATTGTGCAGTTGGGAATAGTCCACGCTCACTTCCCATGACTCTCTATGTACTTACTAACCTAGCTACAGAGCTTTTCATTTGGAGTTCAGATAGCTGAAAAAGACAACAAATTAAAACAAAAAACGAGTTGGAAGGAGAATTCTGCTGTGCTGCTGAAAACTGAAGCCCAAATAAGCACTAACAGGTGGAAGGGAAAAAAATGCTCCAATAAAACAAACAAGAACTGCAGGTTGGAAATTACTTTGTAATAGAATTTAGGAGATAACCCCAGACAATGAAGTTCAACGGTGTTGCTCCCAAGTACATCGACTTCTTGGAAAAAGCTTAATTAGACAACAATAGGCACCAGGCTCTGTCAGTCCCCAGTGTAGAGCTTTAATAATTAGAAATTTCACACACTGTATAAAAAGAGCTTAAAATACAGTAATTATTTTAATACGAAGGGCACTTGGAATTCCTCAGTAATCACACAACTAAAGCCTGGCGTACGACAGCATCTTGCAGGCCCCAAGAGCCTGAGCAGGCAGACTAGCACCTAAACCAGGGTTTGGATGAGTGTCCCTGGGGCTGGCTTTCTCTCCCTGGAGCTCAGGCAACCTGCCAGATTCAGGCCAATTTGCCAGTCTGTGCTTAAATGAGAGATGCCTTACTAGAAGACACTATAACACCAGCACAGTGCTGCTTCTTCAGATACAATCATGCTAGTAAGGCTGTTCTGCGGTTAGTCCAAAAGCAGTACCAATGACCAAAATAAGCAATACCAGTACAAGCCCAGTTTCATCAGCCTGGCACTCCGGCTGCACTCAGGAGCTTGCATAGGCACAGCTTGGCTAGTGAGGAGCAGAACACAGCTTGCCCCAACCTGACCGTGATGGGACAGTCTGTAGCATGCCACTCTTCAAGTGAAATGGCTAACAACTTTTACACATGGACTAGTCATTGGCAAATTAACTCTTGGCTGAAGTTAAGTGAGCACCTCTTTTCTCATGTCCTTTTTATTTTGAGAGAGTGATCACTGCATTAGCTGAACTGTGACCACATTCTGAAAGTTAGTTTTCAATCCTAAAAATGAAGAGATCTTTTGTATTCTCATAGCAAAGCCAAAATTCTCCAGAAAAAGGTAGCAGCTTGAGAGCCATACAAACAAAGGACAAATTAATCCCTCTTTACTTTGCTACTCTTAGATTTGAAAGCTTGTAAGACAGAAAACCTTAACATTTCTACTAACGACTGTCAGAGACTCCGAGTTCAATAGAAAGCAGAGTATATTCCAAGAATTTGGCAAGATAGTGAAGGTTTGTTATCATACGTATCACGTGAAAATATTATCCAAGAAGAAATGTAAAACTATGGCAGTTTATCATCTCAGCCAGCTGAAAACAATGGATGTCTGAGCAGCAGAATCATAACCAAGCCACAGTTGCAGTGACTGTAGTGTCGAGTGTCAGCACACAAGCTGGAGGAGGCAGACTTTTGTTCACCTGCTTAAAAAAAAGAAGATAAAGAAAAGCCATGGGGCTCCAGTCAGACAAAACAATGTGATGTTCATGCAGCACAAGGCTGCCCAATTCATTACACTTGAAGGCTGTGGTGACAAAAGCAGGTATGAAGGAAAGAAACTGATTAAGTATGTAAGAATTCAGCTTAGCCATTAATTTCAAAAGCACAGCAAGCAATGACTCTCCTGAAATGCATTCAGTAGAGGGAGTTTTTTTCCTGTCATCAGAATGAGAAGGGGGTAAGATTTCTTGGCAAGAAAAAGTAAGAACATATTTCAGTAGATATCATCTGTCTTGCACAAGAATCTTCTCCTGCTGCCAAGGAGTTGCAGATATTTGACAAACTCTGTTCTTCAAACTGAGTTTCTTCTGCCCTAATGGACTTTCACAGTCCCTTCTGAAGAAGAGCAGCATTTTTGCTTTGAAGTGGGGAAGGTCTGTGGCATTATTAGGAGGCAGATCTCACAATCCTCTTCCCCAACAGCAGCAAAGGAATTACCATCCTGCTGGTAACACAACAGAAATGTTGTGTGCTGAAATCAGAGGCTGCACACAGACAAGTATCACTGGCAAAGAGTGTTTAATGTGGGATGCAGACTGACACAATCAAAAGTCTGCTCAGCTTTACCTGTCCTGTGATGTGGGGTGCAAACTACACCAAGGAGTAAGATGGTTACCGCTCTGTTCTCTTCTTCAAGCATAAGTCCACCCCAATTGCATCTTTAGTAGACTGCCATACTATTTGGTAGCTAAATATGAAGTGGAGAAGCCACACGACGAAATTCTTCCAATCCCCAAGGGCACCATCTAAGTAAAATTACTTCTCGGTGATTTTTTTTCCTCCTTTTCTTCCTCATCAGCATAGGTACTTTTCTAACAATTCAGCTGCTACTTAATTTTTAAATTGGGAGCCAGAGTTGTTGCACTGTTTCAAATTTCATTTCAGGGCATGTATATATGGAATGTATACTGCAGGCTGCATGTGCCTCCAACAGGAACACCAACAACAAGGATGTGAGGGCAACAGCCACACTGTCTTCTGGCTGCTCACCCTGCCCACAGTTATACTGCCAAGCCTTCTGTCCTTCTGCAACTTGGGTCAGCTGAGCACTCTCACGGAGTGTATGTTTATCTGTACAACAATTTCACCTCACACTTGCTGCACACACAGCTCACACAGAGCCCATCCGCAGACATTTGGATACAGAGAGTATTGCATCTCCTTGGCCGATTGTTCAGATGCCATCTGCTACGGAGTGAACGCTCCTGTCAGTAATTGCTGTTTGGAGGCCTCTGCGAAGCTCCTTTGGTGGCGAACACAGGTCTCATGCGATACAGTGCCCATACAGCAGAGCAGTAGCCGACAATAATTTAATTCCTTGTTTGAGCTGAGGGAAGAGCTGACCCACTCCCCAAGTGAGGCCTGTGTTATACTCTGCAAATAAGCCTCCCTTGTGCTGCTGCACTCCATCGATCACAGTGATAAATGGGTTCTCAATCTGCAGAGGCATTAGCTTGGCACTTCTGGATTGCTGTGTCCCCCTAGATAGTCGCAGTTAGTTAGGAGCTTAGATGATGTGTAAGGAATTTACACAGGCTTAGTTTAGTTTTCAGTCTCCCTTCTCATAAGGAAAATAAATTACTTTATTTCAAAGAGTCTCACCTGCTTGACATTAAATAGCTGTATATAGCTGTAGTTGTATTTACCCCTAAGATCAGTAATCAGTTGCCCATCCTTCAGTGTATTCTTGCTTAGATAGGAAAGCATGGATTCTTTGCGAGTTACCCTGATTTCTTCTGTGAAACTTCACATCACTGAATAAAATGGTTTCCTTTCTCCAGTTTAGCTACCCATATCCTGTGTTTTGAAAACATTAATTATCGTACTGAAGCACAAAGACAGACTTGAATGTCATACAGAAAAGTTCCTGAGTGTATTTCATTAAGAAATAAAACTGCTGCAATAAACACGTATTTATTTTCTTCAGGAAGAAACTTGTTTAAGACTTCCCAAGCAGAGCAAAAGCTTTCAGACTTTCTGTCAGAGCATGTTCTTGCTATGCATTTGTTAAAAATAACTCCCAAATGGGTACACAAAAAGGGTAATTTTTATAGGATGTATTATTAATACATCACATGCCCAAAAGTCAGGTTGCCCATGAAATAAACCTTGTGAATATAGCTGAATACAGTCACAGCACATATGATCTGCACAGCTTCTTCTGCACGATTTCTGTCTCCATTCAGTCCCACAGATGACTGCTGCTCTGGATATTCATCAGGGTGAGGTAAAGGTGCCAGGCTTCTGCTCACTCTACTGCTAATGCTATCAGCAAAATCCCCACATTATTTTCTGTACAAGTTGGAAAACTAGTAGCAAAGTAAGAGGGAATATGATTTAGTGGTCAAGGAGATAAATACCATTCTGGAAAAATGGACTGTATTTCTTCCTCTGCCATTATGTCTCTATGTGACACAGGGCAAACCTTTTAAATCAAGTTTCCAGAGGCAGTCATGAATTTTATGATCCTACGCTTCCTCACGCCTGGCTTGGGATCTGGATGTTAAAGATCAGAACTTCTCCTTTGCAGAAATGTTAAGCAATTACAGTTTCAATACCATTAAAATTATCTTTTGCACGTATCATTCTTAAATAATGCTACCTTTTCTGAAAATCACATCCACGGCACATAAAGCCAGTATCCAAAATTATGGTCACTTTTATCTTAATCTCTTTGCACCCTAGTTCCCTACCTGTGAACCAGATAACAGCAGCTCATCAATTACCACTTGCAAAGCACATGACTATGGTAGTGATGAGTATCACTGGGAACCCCAAGGGAACATTCTTATCACCATGTTCAGCTAAGGGTCTGAACAGTATGACATACCTGAGACACACTGAAGAGCAAGGACAGAACAAAATACTGAATAGCCACATTCTGCACAGCAAGTAATACAGGAATCCTGCAAGGACCATTATGCTAGATGTATGCTCAAGGGGCTGAAATCAGTCACTTGGCAGCTTTTCCATCAGCATGCTCTATCCTTTGAAGGTAGAAGCCGTAAACATACACTGATACAATTGGTTTTGATTTTTTTTTTAAAGCCAATAAACTGAACAAAACTTCGTGCTTTGGTATCACATGGGTTACAAGGAGATAGGATGCTTTGGCTCCACTGCCCTGTTCTCCACCATGTCAATGAGCACAGCAGCAGAAAGCAGTAACGGGTTGTTGCATCCAGGGTCCCAACTCTAGATGGGAACAGGACACACCTTGTCAGTCGCTGCCTCAGAAAATTTGCTGACGAGCAAAGGGAAGGCCTGTGTGGGGAGCCCTAGGCTCCACTCCTGACTTGAGAGGAAGTGTACTCAAGCAACCACTGATCTGAGTACTACTCACCCTAACTGGCCCTTCAGAGCACCAAGCAAGTGGATTATGCAGCTGTAGGGAGAGTTATGGAGGAAACAGACTATATGGGCTTTAATTAATTTACTATGCTGTATTGACTTCCATTCTCTGAAAATCAAGGGCCGCCTTAAATGTGGGCCAACGTTGTAAAAGAGATGGGTAAGAAAGTTCTTTAAGAGTTCTTTAGACACTTCAAGGAGATGCTTGAGTTAATGTACTTTTAAAAGGTCTTGTTCTGACTGATCAGTCACAGGCTTGCCAAACATACAGAGGTGATTCCAGAGAAAACAATTCTGGAGCATGCATGATGTTTAGATGTGGTCATAGGCTTTTTAACCAGCAGGGAACCATAAATATCCAGATGCTGGACTACATCCTGATGGTTACAGTGTGTGCTGGCAAGCAGAGAAAGTTTAGGAGCAGGCAGTTATCAAAGAAGATGGAACATCAGACTGCAACTCTGCAAGATGCACAAAATAAACTGGCAGATGCCCACTTAATACCAGTTAAAGCACAGTATCACCAAAAAGGGCACAACTTGGGCTTTTTTCTTAAATGTCCATTTGCAGTTCTCCATCTCTGTAGCTAGTGAATCCACTGCTCTGGAAAGGAATAAGAAAGCATATACTCCTACACGGTGCTTTAAACCAGATTCACATATGGTATCTTGCCATGTTCTACTAAGATGTCTCACAGTGCATTGGAGTATGTCATCAAAAGAGCATGCATGATCATATTCTGAACATCTGCACCATCTATTACATGTTATACCCTTTTCTGGGATTGCAAGAAGGGGCAGTTTATTTTTAAGTGAAACTTGGTCTGCGCATCACGCTTGGAAAAGTTACCCTACCATTCTTTCTCCTTCACCACAAATTCAACTCCTGGTCTCGAAGCTTCATTTTGATTTCTGATTAGACGACGACTGATCACAAAGCAAGCCAGTGAATCTACAGCCACAACTTTGGGCATGTGCGTCCACTGTCATACACAAAGTGGCTGATTTTGCAAGAAGAGACTCTGAGCTCTTGCGGTTTACCAAAATGAGTGCCGTGTATCACAATTCCAGGCTCCAAGATTGTGGAATATGGTTCCACTGCACACTGCACATGTTCAGTATTCTTTAACTAGCTTTGAAACCATTTCTAAGCAGCTGTTACACTACTTGCACTAAAGAAGCACAGGTTCCCCTTTTACCATATAAACATGTATTTCTCCCCTCAGACTGTGGCTTACACAGCTCTTGTGTATAGAATGTATGTAGCTGAAGAACCACATTATACACAGGAACAGCGCAGAACTAGCTGTCCAAACACAAGACCACGCATCACTACTCATAGTTCCAAATCAGGCCAAATTGCCATGGTACTGGACCTGTGGAGGACAGGCTGACAATTTTAGCCTTATTGGCCAAGTCCCAGCATATTTACAAGAGTATGCTGCTCTCCGCTTTGTTGAAAAAAATAATTAAGATGCCTACTTTATACAATGTGAAAACAGGACACAGAAAAGCTAACCAAGTAGTCCAAAGGGATGCCACGGATCAGAGGCAGGGATAGGACTCGAAGTAGCAAGGCCATGTTGGTCTTCAGGAGGAATCTATCCCCAAGTCAGATGGGCTACCACCTTCAGTATGCTAAAAACCTAAAGAGAAGTTCTGTCACTAGTGAGCATTCACTCCTCCACCATCTCCAAAAACAGTGTATTGTACCAGTGGAGAATAATTATCAACCTATAGAGGGCAATGGAGGAAAAGAAAATGAAAAAGGTGAAAGAAAAAAAAAGCAACCGAAAACATTAGACAATGTATCTTCTGAATTACAATCAAGTATTTACATTTCCTGTGTCAGTTAATCAGATATACTCCAGAAAGACACTAGACCCAAAAAGGGCAGATTAAGACTATAAATATAAATAGGCTTTTTGAGGTATAGTATTTACACATGGGACATAACAAGTGCTGAACTATGAGAGGATCTAAACTTTTGGCCATGGCTACGACAGTCAGAAAGGACTGCATCAATTAAATCAGACTGCAAACAGCCATCTCCCCAGAGTGGAGATGGCTTTTGTTGAAAGCATAATTTCCCTCTCTGTGGCATAGCAGGCTGATATGAGCTGGTCACTACACAAGCTGCCATCCCTCTGCTGCAGAACTTGCTTTCTGATCTCCTGCTGTCTTCTATGCCCACAGAAAATAGTTTGTGTGGATCAGCAAGCTATCACACCCACCTTCATGTCCTCTAGGAGAGCCTGAGGATCTTCGATGCCTTCTGGAACACACTTCTTGTTCTCTGGGAGAGATTCAAGCTTTTCCACCAGGGCTTTTAAACCCTTCAGTTCAAATTCTGTGAGGTGAGTCCATTTGGTTGAAACTTCTGTAGCTGGAGACCCTGTTGGTGTTTTGGGATAGTCCGTGGGGGTCGTTGATTTTACGCTGTCATCCGACTCATTAGACAAAGTTCTTTTTAGGTATCTCATTACTGTGGCTTTTTGTTTTCTTTCTGCACCCTCCTTCCCTTCTGAGTGTGTGCTGTTGGGTGAGGAGGAGCCATCCACCAAGCATTTAGAGTTCTTATCCAAGCTGTCATCCTTCTCCTCCCGGATATGGGCATCACAAGATTCTTCATCCATGTCTAACCACGAATCTGATGAATAGCTGTCTGTGCTGCGTTTTCTTTTTGCATCTGGAAGTTAGAAAAAGAATGCTGAAATTTTACCCAATGTAATTCATAGCTTAAACACTTCTCTACCACTGGGGCTAGGCACTGCCTATTTAAAAGGGCACTCGATAATGCCTACTAAGTATGTGACAGGAATGGGCTCTATTCAGCCGATTTTTAATTTGGATGGGGGGGGGGTTGTTTGTTTGTTTGTTTGTTTTAATGCTGGTTTTCATTAAAATCTACTCAGTTCAAATGACTGGGAAACATTTAGGGAAAAATTATGCTTTCTTCAAAGCTTCAGTCCTCTATGCCTTCAATTAAGAGTAGGCAGAGCTCTTAAGTCACACACAATTAATTTGCCCGCAAATCCGAAAGAGACCAGATTCGGCAGCCTTACAGCTTTAAGAGGAGAGTTAGCACAGAAAGAGGAGGGGAAAAATGATGGGAGAAAGCACGTTAAAATGCTGTACATCATCATTCTTCCAGGAACTCTGCACGGCAGAAAATCAACTTCTCAATACTTTTCCTCTTTGCAAGCAATGGTTGGTAAAACAAGAACCTACTGCGTGAATACTCATTGCTCTTCTGAGACAAAGGATTACAATTATGCTTATTTTACAGACAAGAAGCCTAAACACACTGAGAAATGCAAGGACTGTCACAGAGTTGCATGATACTGTTTTTCTTAACACCATCCCTGATACTTTCTAGGTACTTCTCAGGAAAATTTAAAGGCAAGTTTCTGAGTCTAAAGAACTGTTAATCTTAGTTTTATACTAGGTTTCCCCCTAAAAATCCCAACTGCTACCCAACTCCATGCAATCAAGCAGTGAAAGCAATATAGGAAACTAGTGGCCAAAGTTCCCTAAAGCACCCATCTTTTTTTATTTATTAGACACAATTTCCTTTACTAAGTGAAAAACATTGAATGCAGGCTAGCAACAGCAGGAATTTCTGTGGAAAATACAGTTAACACTGGCAACACCCAGTTAAGTCAATGTGAATTTTAATACTGGCTGAAATGGGTATGAGATCAAGCTGCAAACAAAAACACTCTGCAAAGGAAACAGAAGTCATACAGAAAAAATGAGTGAACAATTAATGAAAAGTTCCTTTCACAGCTTTCATGCTTTGCAATGCAGTAGCTTTGGACTAGGACAATATGAATTATGCTTAAGGAATGATTAAATGAACATTAAAGAAAAAGCTCAGTATCCGGTTGTTTAACAGTGAGGTTCAAAACAAACACTGAAGCCCAGTTCCAAGCTGGCAAATTCATCCTTATCACAGAGAAGCTCCTTGTCTCTTGCATAGTCTATATCATCTTCTTGCAAAATACACGTTACAGCTGAGTAACAAAGATGCAACAGGTAGTGGCAGAGTAGCTATCTGAGGGCAGTTAGCCTAGCTGCTTAGCTTTGCAGTTTCAAATAAAAATTCTGTAAGGCCAGGTAGACCTCTGCAGGTTAGTGCCCAAGAGATAAGAGTTAGCCACTTTATACTTCTCAGGGCAAAAGTGCTGTTGCTACAGTGTCTGCAAAAATCAAGCATCTCTGTGACTAGTCTACTCCTTCAGTCATGTTTGTATTTTTCCTCAGAACCAAAATAGCCATAAAATTACTCCTGAAAGGCACATTTAAGCTGAAACACCTGTGAAAAGATGGCAGTCACAAAAAATACCAGCTACCAGCAAGGCTGGTCACAGCCAAATCCAGCTCTACTTCCACAGTGCGGGCTAACATCCTCCTTGCATCCCTCCAAAAAAGCTTCACCATGAAGTACAGCACAGTTTATTTTGTGTGCTGAGGTGGTGGCATGCAACACTCCAAAGCAGCTCCTCCTCCCTGGTCTGTGCTAATACACCCCCATGCTTCTCTTAGAAAAATAAACAGGATTAGAAAATATCTTAACCAGAACATTTAAAAACCACTACGTTATCCAACTTTTATTTAATACTGTTTTCTCCTTTGTCCACAGTAGCTAGCACACTTACCCACCTCAAAGGGCTATATAATCAGCTTATGTCATTCTCCCATTTTACAGCTGAGGAAACAGATGCTTGGGAGAAAGCACGATTTGCTCATTGTCGCACATCAAATCCAGGGCAAAACCAGGAATCAGAATCCAGGCTCCTGGATCCAGGGCTGGAGCCCCTTCTCTAAGCCACGCTGCCTTGGTGAACTATTTTACAATTGACTGAAGCACAAAAGCCCAGTCTAGATGGGAGAAGATGCCAGTGATAAAGCAGAAGAAGGTGAAAGCAGATACACTTCCCTACGCTACCAGTACAGCATCATTAACAGAAATTGGTATAAATCTGCACAAAGAAAATTATGTTTCTGTCTTCCTATGCTGTGGCTCTGCTGAACAGGAACTAATGGCTGTAACTGGGGCAAATCGCAAGCGTAGATAAGGCCTAAAGAAAGAGAGGGAGATCACGTTACTCCAACTAATGCTCTGGTGCTAAGAGAAAACTGCCTTCAAGAGAGATCTCCACTTTTTGTCTCTTGCTCTAATCTATGGAAACAAAAGGCAAGCGAGGAGTGGAACACCACAGCATACTGGGGGCCTATTCCCATCAGAAACAAGCACACGGGGGGGCCAGCAATTCTGTTCTGCCAGCTGCCACCGCTTCCCTGCCACCGGCTGTCTGCACAAGACAGGCCCTGCTGTGCCAGCGACACCTGGGTATGGACAGACAAAACCCAATCTAAATCTAACCTCAAAATGAGCCATCACCAAACAAGTGCCCTGTGGCCTGTTCTCTGCAAGCCTGGCAGTTACCTGATGCCTTGCCTAACTTTACATCTGGGGACAGGGCTTGCTATTAACCTGAAATGTATCAGTCTATTCTGGAGCACTAGGGGATTACAGTACTGTTGCACTATCAGATTAAGAGTGGACTGCTTTCAAAAGACAACAACTGTCTGCTACTGCTGGTAATTAAAAAAAAAAAATGCCAAGGGAATCAATAATGGAAGGATAACTTTAAGGTGAGGAAGGTTCAATCTTATGTTTTCAAGTGTTTTGTAGTAATGCAATATACCATTATTTTTATTTATTCATTTTAATGCAAACAGTACCTGACTGAAAGTTACTATGCTGCAAGCTGAGGCCCTACATAAGGATAATCTGCATTTATTTTGTCAAGAAGTGCATTTTTAGCAGTGTATTACCAGGGTTCTACTGACTTGGAGGTTTTTGGTTTAGAAAGTCTCTCCATGGAAAAGAGCTCCTGCTAAGTGCAACTGTGGTTTCTTCTTCTGAGTCAACGCACCAGCCAATACCAGGTTAGAACTCTAGTTTTAGAGTGGTTATCCAGTCTGGGCTTCCATACCACTTAGTGCAAAAAGACCTTCACCCCCCTCTCCATCTCAAAGCAAATAAAACCAGCTTATACAAACCAGTCAGTGACATAACTCAGTGAAGAGGAGTAGCAGCACAGGCTTGACCACACTTCCCTGTGGTTCTGGTCAAATCACTCAATTTTCCCCACAGTTATCCACTTGTACAAGAAGGATAATTATACACAGTTTCTTTCCTTGCTGAAAAGCAACTTGCTGTATTACAGAACTTAAAAGAAAGGGAGGGGTGTGAGGTATAATTATGAAATCTTTCTAAACTCTTTTAGTAAAAAGAGTTCAGTGTGTAGTACCTATCTTGCCACTCCCAGCTCCAAACCCTGACACTGTGACTTGGGAGCAGCAGTTCCTATTGGTCTGCTAAAGACAGCAATGACATTGCCATTAGCAGAAAAAAACCCTGAGCATACTGGAAATGTATCACTGCATGGAGCACCCCACACAGAAATCACTCAATAGTGACTGATAGTCCAGTACCTGTCTATCATAAGCAAATCTCTTCTATCCCCTGAGAAGAGAGAGGAAAAAAAAGACATGGCTCCTTCACCATGCCAGAGGGCATATTTTCTTCATCCATCAGGCTTAACATATAGTTAGAGCCATCCTGTTAAAATTTTAGCAATGGAAGTCTTAAAAGCTGCAGGCTACAGAGAAAGCACATTTTTGATAGCCCAGTATCTTCTCCCAATTACTCTTTGTCAGCTCACTCTCAAGATCCATATCTCACTGAAGGTCAATTGTGATTGAAAACATGCAGTACAGACTCATTCATGGTAAGAGTAAAAATAATGAAGACATATCCATCCCGAAACAGTGCATGTTCAAATCTAGTAGGAAACCCAAATAGGATCTGTTTCTGATTTCAGTCGGCAGGACAAATGTCACAGTTGAGAGGGACAAGGAAAAGAAAAAAGGGAGAGAAAGAGAGATTGCGTGCTTTTACAGCAGTCTGGGATTGCTGTCATGTCATCATTCCCCTGAGTGTTTGCCCTTCTGCAGAAGAGATCTGAAAAGAACAGTCTCACACACTAACTAGGAGGCAACTGCCTGAAAACTCAATTCTGGGCCTGAAGAATGGGTAAAGAAACCACGGTCATCATCTTCCAACTCATTTAGAAGGGCAGACGTCTTTTTTTGAGGAGCGGGAACACTCCAGGTTTTAGCATTGCCTATAGTGAGGTGTTTTCTTTTTTTTCCCCCCATTTGAAGTTTTTTGAGTCAAGACATTTAGTAAACAGAAATACAAAAAACAATATAAAGTGCTATGCTAGCATGCAACTATCAGGACAGAGGTAAAACAACACAATCACAGCAATATATTTTCATGAGCAGGCAATGCCTTGAAAGAGTCACTCTGAATTTAGCAACCTTCACGTCAAAGCAAATAAATACTGTGTAATGACAACATAGTATGAAAAGTCTAAAGATATCTTTAAAACACAATTGCTGATGAATTCAGTTTTCTGAGTTCTCCAAAGATGTTCTCTATCACCACAGTAATCTCCTTTTTTTCACGCAGGAGAACAGAATCTCTACCAATTCTATGAGAACTACCACCTTATGAATCCCAGAGACCATGGGCAGCATCCTGTGCTATCTCTGGTGGATGTCCTCCTCAACTAATAATCACCTGTTGCTTCTTAGCTTCTGAGATCCAGTAAGACCACTGTATCAGAAGGCATGTAAGAAAAGAAAGCAGCACAACTCAAGAGTGAAAAATAGCAAGTTCAAGCACCCAAAAAGAAAGGTAGAAAATAGACATTTACAACAAATTATGTCAAGGAAATTATTTAAAAAAAAAAAAAAAAGGAGAAACATTAAGATTATTCAAGAGGAATTTCTGAAAATGAGTATAAGGATGTGAAGAATTTTTTCTTAAACTAAGAAGGACAGAAGACAATTAAATCTATTGAGGAGTCTGCAGAGAAGTTAAGTACTTTGTTTCATTACTCTTTAAGGAGAATAATGGGAAATTCTTTGTCAAGGGATACTCTCTCATGGGAAATCAAGAAATTGCTTGTGGATGGAGAGGTCTCTAAGAAAGGACAATTTAAGGACCTTAGCAGTTCTGAGGAGAAGCTTAAAAACAAAGTGGTGGGGTTTTGGAACACTGACCTCATTTGGATCTCCTATCCCACAGCAGGTGAATGATATTAAGATACAGACACTGCAGAACAAACAAGTGTAATTCAAGGATTATAGTTCATAGAGATTTATTTGAGTCAAGAGGCTGGACATTGAGACCAGTTAAAAGAAAAGACAAGCAAGTATTTGCACCAGTATTACTCCTGCAGAACAAAGCAGTGCAGCTTTGTAAAGGTAAATAATGTACCTTTACTCCTTTGAATTTGACAAATGCCAAAATGAAAGATCCAGTAGATATAATAGATCTAGGCTTTTGAACCACAATCCCCAGTTCAATAATTATTTTAAGGTTAAGATTCTGCCAAGAAATAAAAAGCAAGTTTCTGACAAAAAGAAGTACACATCTGTCTCTCCTGGAGAGAAAGGCCCTGGGTGTCAGAGATTTTATCAGCACACTAATACTCTGAAGTCAAGAGATAGCAGGCAGGTGGATGAACTACACACTGTCAGTAGATATCACTTAGGTAAGCTGAAAGTACCAATCCATTCAAGACAGTAACAACAGCTTAAGATCTGCCCACCCGGACGCTTCCACCACCTACCTCGAGTTGGCACTCACAGCCATGCAGTAGGGCTGCAAGTCGCATCAGCTCCTCAATCCTACTGATAACAAATATATTCATTTTTCGATAGGGTTAATTTTCAGTCAGATAGCTGAACTGATTCAGCTCATGGGGCAGCTGCACAATCTCTAGAGTTCGAGAAATGGAATAGTCTTGTGAGAGCAGCACGTTTCTCACAGTAGCTTAAAATGACCATAACACCATGCCCAAACAACAGCAAAACAGTTTCATATTCACTTTCTACTAGGCCAACAACTGAAGCCACCACAGGAGACAAGGCCCAGACAATGTTGCACCAAACCATTTTCCAAATAGCCAAGCTCCTTTTCCTGATGCCTTTGCAGCTGGCATTCTTTGGTCATGCAAAACAGTTCTTTTCCCTCTAGATACTGGACATCTATGGTTCCCAATGAGCTTTTATACGATTTTAGTATCTCTCAGCTAGTAAGTATGGACTGAGGCATATTTTGTGGGGATCACCAAACCACTATCAGTAACTACTGAGTTGGGCTGAAATTCCCACTGGTGATTTAGCTGGGAAAGGTCCCATCTCAACATCCTGAACCATTCACTCTCTGCATCGAATTTCTTCTGAAATTACACCTCAGCGATCTGACACCCCCATCCTGCCTGCAGGACGAGCCTCCTTCCATGCCAGTGGTTTAGACAACAGGAGGTTGTTCCTTATTTTCCAATGAATGCAGTCATCAGAGTTTTGTCACTGCTTTATGAAGAGCTGATCCAAGAGGCTAATTCATCCTTTCCTCCAGGATGATCTTGTATAACAAGAAAAACTTCTCCACACTGAGCTCCTGCTTAACTAACCCTTCTGACAGGGTCTCACAAAGCTAAGAAGAGAACAAACTGTGAAGTACCCAATTTCCCTGTGACCCCAAGAAATTTCCCTGGCCTATCTACACAGGCTATTAGGTCCCTCAAGTTATTCTTGGTCAGTAATACTCACTGGAGAGTGATGTCTGCCCATAACTTCTTCAATCCCTTCTACTAAGAATTATTCTAGTAGGTGATCATTTCCCCACTCTGTCCAGAACCCGGGGCAGTTCCAAGCATGCCAGGTTCACTCCAAGTGGCACCTCAGGGAGCAGGAGGCACAGAAATACTTTAGTCATCCTCCACACTTAACACGTATCAGCTAAGATTTAGCTGGCGCTTGTGCTACTTTCAGCCATTCTGCACTTAAAAGCAGGGAGGCAACATGGCCCACCGTCTTGTTCCATTAAAAGGAGGGAAAACAGGGCAGTTCAGCAAGGCAACAACTGGAATTGTCACACACTGATGTAAAGCTCACATCAGTGCCAAGGTAATGCCTTCCCGCTTCAGGCACATCTATCCATCTCTGCTATGGTCCATTTTCAGCTATTGTTGTAAAGGTTTCTTTGACCTCCCTGCACTTAGGTTATAGATCATGTAGATTTGTGTAGGTGTTTTCTTGGTTTTATTACTCTGCAGAACTAGAAGTCAGTCACCAAACAGACAGAACTAAAGTAGAGATTAAAGAAAAGAAAGGAGAGGGAAGCCAGGTTTAGTGACTGTAACACATTCTGTAGAGGAGATGCTCTATAAAAGGACTAAATATCCATCCCACCAGAGCACATTTGTAATGCACACATTTCTGGCTACTAAGGTACTGTGCCAAACATAGCAGTAAATCCTCAACTGTTTGGCAGATCATCTCAACACAAACATTACTGAAACCAAAGAACAAACGCATCCAAAAATTATTTTTCTGGGATCCACTTGCTAAGGGAATGCTCAATAAATATAATTCTAAGTAGGTTGGTACTTCATGGAAATGCTTAAGAGTCAAAACCCTCCCCACCCCAAAATAAAGAAATAGTTCACTGGAATTTCTACAGTTCTCCAATTCAATTTGTAACCTGCTTTGCAGAAACCAAAGCAGTAACTAGCCTAAGGTGCCAGCATCAGTTCTGAATATGCACTCAAAGGATTCACTCACCAATTAACATTGATTCTTTCTGGTACTCTTTGCTGAGGTGGCAGCGCTGGGTCACACAGGACACGTATCTCTCCAGAACATACCAGCACATTTCATAGTAGAAAGGATAACGGAATTTAGCATGCACCTGAAAGCAAGATCAAGACTGTCAGTCCATGGGGAAGGGAGAGAAGTTTGCAGCACAAGGGCCAGTCATCATTCTCATCATGTTATCAAGAGCACAAACAGTATGCAGGAGGGGGAGGGGAGAGAGGGTGGGAGCCGAGTGAGATGTATGCCTTCAGCATACAAAATGAGGAGACTGCCTGCCTGCCTGCCATGATAGCATCATTTCTTGGTTCACTAATTTGTATCCTCTTGGGGTGGTGGGAGAGGAAAGGGTTTGTGTTCTTGTGAAATCATGAAACTGATGGATGGCCCCTACAGTATTATTTACCTACTGTATAAACATAGGGTGGTCACATACAGATGTTAGTCACTAGAACTCAAGTTAAAATAAAGGATTTTAAAATTTTATTTCCTAAACACTATCACATGATTTTTATCAAAATGGCAACATTACCTAAAATGAGTCAAGCAGGAAATACATCTTTTTCAATTATGGTCTTCACAACAATTTGATTAAACAAATGAACACACAAATTCTCAATTATTGATAACTACACATTAAAAGTAAAAATCCCTTATGTAGTTTACACTTAACATTTTGGTAGCAAGTTAGCTTTTGCCACAAACAGAATAGAAAAGCAGGATTTTGACAAAAGATCCTGTCAAGCTGTGCCCTTGTTCTTACATCTCAGACCTGTTGTTCTCACACAAAAAACTTATTCTCCAACACTACGTATTTGTGAGATTATTTCAGATTCGAAAGAAAACAAAGTGGGTTTCCTTCCTTTCTAACACAGTTTTCTATCTATGGGAGGTCACTGTACCAAAGAAGAATCTGAGAAGCTCCTAAAATGCAAGAACATATGTATATTTATTGTGATTTGTTAAAAATGGATGCCATGCATCTTGCATGCACTTGTACTTACACTGTACACTTCTTTCTCCTGGTGGCACCAAAATTTGCATTTTGCAGGCTTGTGTGCATGCATTGCACTGGGATTATAGGAACTGCTTTAAGACATTCTATGCATATTAACTGCTCACCTAGCCAAGAGGTGTCCGCCCACCTTTAATGAAAAGCTGGACTGCACCATAAAGGAGCATCATCTTAGAAAGCCCATTTTTAAAAAAACAAAACCAAAACACCACCCCACCTCAGATCACCCAAACCCCCAAAGTCTAAACAGAACCACTAACCCAGCATCTGGAAACTCATTCAGCTCTGCAAAGCAGGCATTGCCAAAACATCTGCATGGTGATAAAAGCATCCACTTGAGCATATCAGTGACTTACTAGTATGCCCATATTTGAAAACTGTCCCCAAGGTGGACAGTCAAAGAACTTGCCTCTCTATTCCCAGGACACAGGAAATGCAAACACTCAGGAAATGCAATGCACGTCACTTTTAGCCGTAAAACAAAACGTAACAAAGGGAAAATACACTGTATTGTCCCACTAAATGTATCACAGTGCAGGATTTAAATATTCCATGGCAATTCCCAAAAGTTAAGATCTCTTAAATTCAACACAAATGTAGCTGGTAAATCTGAAGTGTATGTTGCTATGGGTCATGCATCCAGTGATGATGCACCTTCCCAAATGTTTCCCGGTGTTGTTTGTTACAAAGCACACATACCAAAAAAAAGAAGAAAAAAAAATAAAAGGAAAAAAAAAACCCAAAACCCAAACAACAAAACAACATCCCCCTAAATGTGAGAACATTTAACCCCAGGGCCTTTTTGCATTGGAGAATATTTTTCCTTTGGTTTAGTTATTTGTCATAAAGAAGAGATCGCGTCACTTATCACTATTATGGAACACAGGGGAAATTAGCCATGCTAAAATATATGCTAATAAAGGAACTCAAATTTTTCCAAGAGAGCACTGCAGGAAACAAAATTTGCAAAGAATTGACTTACAAACAGGAAGCCGCCTTCCACCCCTCAGCCTTCAAAAGGTTTTCAGCCACATGCCTGGGAATATTAAAGACATCATTGCTCAACATTTGTTGACAGATTCTGAGCTTCACCAAATTTAGTTGTTACCAATGTTAATTCAATGTGAAAGACAAGGCAGTAATGCATGCAGTGCTCCCATTATGTATATCAATCTTTAATATTCAATTTGAGTTCCTAATTGCCTCACTATCAATGTTCCAACCCACAGCAAATCCCTCCATGCCTCTGTAATTCACTATTTGCCCGACAAGGCCCTGCTTTTACAAACCTTCAGAAGTAAGAGCTACCATATGTAGCAAGAGATACTGTGCAAAGATCTACAGCCTTTTGCCAGTAAAGCAAGTCTAACAGTGCTTTAAAAATCTTTTAAAGTTTGTCTTATGGAAAAGTATAGAGGAGTACGTCCTTTATGATATCCTTGGACATTTATTAATTATAATGGATGTGAACTGCATTATGTACATGTCCGTACTTTTTCCACTGTACACTTATGGTCAAATGAACTCTATGGGGAGGGGGGGAGGAATAAAAGAAAGAAAGAAAGAAATTAAAAATGTCTGTGATGAATTTAAAGTGTAATATCTGATACAGACACTGCCAGAGGACTAAAACCCCCACCAGCAGGGAAATACACTAGATCATCTAATAGGCATTTCCAGCTCTAACTTCTGTGATTAATAATTTACAATCCACTGAATAAATTTTTTAATTATTCCTGTACAGCAAGAAAAATCCTCTCTGGAATATGATCCATTTCTTCAGTTCAAAGTGAAATTATTTGAGAGACTTATATCCCCCTCCAAAAACAAAACAAAAAAACCTAAGCAAGTAAGGCACACATTTTCCTTAAGAAAGTATTAGGCTCTTCCACAATGTCCATTAAAATCATTACAAACCCCACTTGTGTTTAATCAATCTAATCACAATACTGAAAAACAAGTTCTGATTATTTACAAAATAATTACTCTATCCACTTACAATATTATCTTACATTCCAGAAAACAAAATCAGTAGCAAACACCATCATCTGTGAGTGACCACCTTACGTATATATTGTGAGTACTTTTGTCCCTATCTGTGTTCAAATATTTTAACGCTGTTAAATTTAGATGAGTTGGGAGTAAGTTTGACACATTCTTCCTCTTCAGTAATACAGAGCTGTAACACCCCTGTGCCAAGATGATGAATCGCTGCATGGCAGCCTGCTTTGCAGTTATTCAAGCTGGTCTAGCAGAGAGCTAAACAGCTTGGCCTATTTGACTAGCTGTTAATTGGCCTCTAGGAAAGCCAGACTGCAAAATGAGAGTCTCTACAAACTGTAAGGCTGGAGAATATTTGTTTACCTCAATTGCACATTAGGAGCTGTTTCCAACAATAGACATGTTTTTTATTACTCCTTAAAACTATTTTTAAATGGCTATAACCCTCTTAAAAAGTCTCCCAGGGATATGAGAAATTAAGCTAGAATAAGCATGACAAGTATATAAACTAGGCAATTTTATCAGGCTGTAAATCAGCATTACCATTTCAACCATGTATTTATTCTTGTCTTAGATGCTAAGACAATAACAACTACACCTAGCATAAAAATTACTTTGAATATCAGCAATCAAAGATGATTAAGCATTATATAGCAGGTTTAAACACAGTGAAACCTCCATAAAATTGCTCTGTGCAAAATGAAGAGGGGAAACACACCTGTATTACACTTTGATTTGAGTGTGGCAAATTACTTCGTCAATCACATCATGTAATTTACTTCTGTGCTATACACAATGGAAAGATCAATACTGATGAGAAACTCATTTGCAGTATGTTCACACTGGCCAATTTGTGTGAACTACATACTGTACCGAGTCTGCTATACTAGCCAGTGTATGAATAGAATTATTTGAACAAAGAAATTACTTGCTTTGCCCATCAAATTTTGTCAAGTAGTACACACTAGAATCCTATTTTGAAAACATTTACCCCTTCAAGATTCCTGCATGATATTTTTAGGTTGGGGGATGGTGGTAGTGGTGTTATTATTTCTAAATAGCATTATTGATTTTCCTGCCTTTTATCAAACTTCTGTATGCCTTAGTTGCACAGCTTATATTTTGTTTCTGTCTAGAAATTCTTGCTATTCTTTGATTGTTCACACAGCTTTGTTATTATACGGCTGCCTATGAGCACAAGTTTGTGAACACAGGTACAGGCTGTGCATAACACATTGCTTGCACACAGCAACATGCAACTGCTGAAATTGTTTCTGTGAAGTCATGGAAATTCTCGGCTGTTGGCTTTCATTAGTCTTTTTTAAAGCACTTTATTTTTGGAGGGAAAATGATAAAGAACTACACTGACTTTGAGGAAAATCTAAACTAACACTGAGAAGACTAAAGGTCTGATCTGGGACTTCCAAATGCTGCAGGATCCTCTTCCAAAAAAACTGTGACAGGACATTTTCAAAGAGGCAGATACCAACTCCCAAAACCTCCCCACAGCATCAGGCTGCTAGTGACTTTTAAAGGGCATTTCAGCGTAACTGGCTGGTAAATTCCTAAAAGTTACCAAAATATTTGACTGTTACGGGGAATTCTGCCTCCTGGTATAAAAGCTTAGGAGATCAAAGCTGCACCCAGCTTGCCAAAGAGAAGGGCCTGACATGAAGCACTACTGAGCAGTTACAACCCAAGGTGTGTGATCTTCGGTTGCTGAAGTCCTCTGGGAACAAAATGTCACCTTTTATACAACTTCAGGAAAAAGAGCGTTTCCTTCCCATCCTCCCCATAGACACCAATAGAAATAACTTGTTTCTGGCATCAATCCTTCCTCCCAGTCTCCTCTTCTCCATTCTCCATGCCAGTTGCCTGTGCTAGCATCCTTTCTGGCAACAACACACCCTCCCCTTATGCACCTGCAGCACACGTACCCGGCATATACTGCTGGTTCTTATTTACAGTCACTCTGAAAACCTTCCTGTGCCTAGCACCTCTGTCTAGCCACAGTGAGCCCTTTCCTGCTTCTGCCATCATAACTCTTTCTTGTCCAAGTCCCTTTACGCTTTCTTAAGACACTTGACATTCTTGCCTTGGGACACCTATTCAAAGCCAGGCTGAACTCCACTCTGGTCTCTACTTCTCCTCTCAGCTACATTCCCTCTGTTCCAATTCCCCTGAATTTCAGCTTTTGTCTTCATCTCTCTTCCACTAAGAATTCATTTTTCTGCTTAATATTCCTTCTCTTCATTAAAATCACTCCAGGAAACCAACTGCTCCCACCACTGTTCTGCAATGTGAAGATTACCAGACCTTGTACCCCCTGTGAAGTAAGGGAGGCTGGAGGGAGGACACCCTTCCTCTCACACAATCAGAGATGTACTTCAAAACAATACATATTGCTTCAGGCCTATGTACTCTCACTGCAAAGAAAGCCACCTGGTGTAAAAGCCCACCTGGAGCCAGAATTGTGCCCTTTTGTAGAGGTGACCAACAGTGGACTGTACTGATGTCCAAGACATACCATTTTAAGACCTCTTAGCAAAGAAGAATTGCAACTTCCTGCCATTTTGCCAGCCCAAGTCTCCATTACCACCACAGCTGGCAACCATGCCAGTGATTTACCAGCACTGTCTCAGTGCAATGCCTCCAAAACAGTCAGCCACAAAAAAAGTCCCCATCTGAATTTGCACATACCACTGGTCCACTTTTGCATCAGAATGCTACAATTTCCTTGCATAGCTTATTTAATAGCCAACTAAACCAATGGCACTTCCTTCAGATTCTGCTACTTTATGAAACTGCAAAGTATATGACAACTAGGTGTCCTGTTTGTTAATCAAGGATAAAATTTTCGCTCCCAACAAAGAGGCCACACAGTAACCTCCTCCAAGATGTAATACTCTTTCCGTAAGGTAGATGCTACAGCCAGATGAACATCACAATGTTCAGATTAATGTCCCACCCCAGATTCTCTTTGTTCCAAGAATTCCTGCACAGTATCGAGTCATTGTAGAAGAAAATCCTGCAAAGTATAGAAGACGTTGTTTCATACGCAACTTCTGTGCAGCTTTGTCAATTCAGTAGACAGTAGAACCATCCTAGTCCCATTAGTTCTCCAGGCTCAGGTATCCATTCCAGGTGTGCACAGAGAGATGATAAGCAGGGGGTTACCAGAAGTACCAGTACAAAGTTCTGTAAAGCGCAATATGTTTTTGTGCAAAAGGGAAGGTGTTTTACGAAAGTTTGACAGGCAGACAAAAGACACAGAAGGGACACGTCTGTGGGAAGTAGGGAAAAACAGATGAGTAAATCCCACTAAAAATAGCCAACATTTTAAAGTCTCTTTACTTCACGTTTACCTCTTGTTTCAACGACTCTGACACGGAGATCCCATCAGTTCTTGTTTGTCAGAAGGGAATACGAGGAAGAGACTATGAGAGATCATAGTCACAAAGAACTGTTCGGTTAAAAAGAGAATCAAGTATCCTTACCCTTGTTCTGTCCTCAATTTCATAGATGCGAAGCTGCATGGGAACATTAAAGCTATGCAGGATATTTCCACCAAACACCAGAGAATCTACTGGAGTATAAACCGCGTGTATCCACCCTAGAGAGGGAAAGCAAAGAACTGAGAATGCCTCATGCTATGTAGTATCACAGAGCAATTTATCATCAAATTTTAACAACCCCATGAACCCCATTCTGCAGGGGATAAGATGTTAAAGCAGTGAAATGTTAAATGGTATGCTCGTAGCCACACTTTAAGACTAGTCATAGCAGGAGAATGGCATCTTACGATGTACAGTCTTACAACCCTCTGTAAATTGGGTTCTTCTATTTATTCACAGAACAGTTACAGTATTTACTGAGAACTCGCAAGCTTGTGACTCAACCACATCCATGACTAAGAAGTAAATTCAGTCTGTTTGATACATTTGGCTCTCCGATGTATCTACTGGCACCTCCAGTAGGGTTGCAAATCATGTTAGCAGTGGTGTGGGCTAGGGCTGTGGAACTGGACTGAGTCACATCAAACTTCTTTCACACCAGCACCAGGAGCATACATCTTCAGATGTCAACAATTTCAAATTATTACCAGCCCTCCTTCAGAGGTGAAAGTTTCATATTCTATTATCAGCTTCCTGAAACTACGAAAAAAATCTTCATCGCTGCAAGCCCCAAGTTAGGGGATTTAACATTTCCAGTACTGGAGCTGATGAGACTGTTCTGACCCAATCCTGCAAGGGACTGAATTCATTTCACAGGCTCCAAAGCAAGGGAAGAATTTTCTATCACAAAGAAAATTCAGGCATAGCAATTTAGGCAGCCACACACCAGCTCTTCTGCTTCTGCATTGTTTGCTTGGTATGTCAGCAGCTGAAGGACTGGCTATGCAAGACTGTAGCCTCTGATCTCTGCAGTGAAAAAGGAATTGATCTTGCTAATGATCTGGAACCCACAGAGACCTGACACTTTTTTTTTTCTTCTTTTTTAATGAAAAGCATTACAATTTATAAACCAGCAGACAGCAAAGCAACATAGGGGGCAGTCAATTTTCTCCTAACTGTGCAGTACTTTCCACTAAAGCTGTGGCAGCTTTCCTTCACTTCAAGATCAGTGAGGGAGCAGGAAAATGCCCTTCAGCCTAAAGGGTTCTCCAGCTAGCAGCCACAAAAGCTCTCCTACGCAACAATCTTTAGATGGCAAATGCCTGCAAAGCTGTATCTGAGAAGTCCTTGAGCCACAGCAGATGGCAGAACTGGGGCTTTCATTTAAGGGCATATTGGTAGGAGAAAGACAGGAAGGAAAAGATATCAGCACTAGAATTTTCTCCCTAGAAACACAAGCTCATCACTCTGGATACATTTTCTGAATTACAGAATCACAGAATGGTTGAGATTGGAAGAGACCTCTGAAGGTCCAACTCCCCTGCTCAAGCAGGACCACCTAGACCCAGCTGCCCAGAACTATGTCCAGATAGCTTTTCAGTATCTCCTAGGATAGAGACTCCACAAACCCCTCTGGGCAACCTGTTCCAGTGTTCAGTCAATTTACAGGTCTGATTCCATATGATAAATGTGACGCATATAAAAAAGCAAGTGGCTCATAGCTCTGGCAGCTCTTGGTATTATTGAATCTTTCCTGCTCCAGTTAGTATAATTTCAGTTACAGAGTAGCTCACAATGATCCAGTCTGTTTACTACTTTCAAATCAAGAACAACCAACTAGAGAGGAATTTTTTTTTTTTCATGTAACGATAGCGTGGCAACTACATACATCAACACTATAAAAACTCTTCACAGTTGAAGTAGTTCACCACCTCACATGAAATACATCAGTCTGTACTAAGAGCAAACTACTGGGAAAATAAATGATCTTCCCGATCCTAGTCTTTGGGAAGGAAAAAAGATCCAAGGTCAAGGAAGTTGGGGCCGCTGCTTCCAGTAGGTAATCAAAGATTTATGTGGTTGGGGGAAAGAATGGAAACCACATGCTGAAGCAAACGTGTTGGTGGGTCCCCAAAGCCAACTTATTGGATAGGTGCTGAAACACAGGGTCAATTTGCATAACAATTCACCTTAATTGTCAGTTTTAGAGATGAACAAACTGAAGCTCAAAAAAGTGAAATGACTTATCCGTGGCCACACAACTGAGTGGTAGCAGAAGACAGGTCAGAAACAGCCAAATATCAGCAGAACATTGAAGAGTCCTCACTGCTACTTCCCACTGCAATTCTCCCAGCACAGATCAGTCAACGTGTAAACATACTGGAGCTGGCAGATGCAACAAGTTATTTTAGTGGAATGATCAACAGCATTCTAAATACAATTTGTTATCAAATATTACAACTTAAGTAAAAGGAGTAACTGAGCTGAAACCTGGCTTTCTAGTCCTATATGAAAGGTAGAAAGGAGATACCCTTCATCTTACAAAAAATAAAATGAAATCCCATCAACGCACTTGTTCCTCAAGTATATGCTTTTACTACAACCACACAGTAGCCTCCTCCTACAAATTATATTTCCTCAGTGAAAATTTCACACTGGATTGCAGTTGGTTTCATTGCTTCTTGCTCTTTGGGTTTCATTCTCATCAGACCTTTCCTGGCCTCTTGACTCTGCTCCCACTAGATGCCAAGGGTCTTTATGTTAATAACTGCTAGACTTCCTCGGTAGTAGTCTCAATATTTTGGGGAGAAATGTGAAAGGATCTCTCACTGGCTTGAGCCAATGCTCCAACAAATGATGTCCCAGACATGACAAACCCTCAAGAGAAAGATTAACAAACATGAATATAGATTCAATCCTATATTGTTGAAGAGCAGGTAGAGGTGCAAATTCAAAGTCTTCCTTAAAGTATCTGAGACAACCTCTGGTTCTGCAGATAATGTATTTAATTCCCCACTTACCTTTATAACCCAGGTCTAAATTCATCTTACAATTAGTACCTTCAACTCCTAACTTCTGAACTAACTAAACACTAGGTCCTTCAAGATGAATGTATTTCTAATAACAAGATGGAAAATACTGCTTTTTGTGACAGTTCTCAATAACAAAACCCTGTAATAAAGAAGCACTAAAACCCATCAGGGTTGGGGATATAAAATTAAAAATAAACCAGAGACCATGCAACAAACAGAAAAGTCATTAACTGTAAAGTCCTTGGAAATAAAGTTCCTACCCCTAGCCAAAGCAGGGTGTAGGATGATTTCCGGGCACAGCTCAGAGATGGGTAAGAACAATGCCTGTGGGTACCATCCCTTCACTGTTGAACAGCATTGAGCTAGGCACACAGCTAAGTCCCAGGGAATCCCTAGATCTCCAGCAGTTCATGTGCTCCCACATGCAGGATCCAGCTCACAGTCCCTCTGCCAGCTACAGGACGCAGCCCTGTCAGAGGAGTCACCAGATCATAAAATAGATTTTGGCCACTCAGCTCTACAGCATTTTTCAGTTATACTGCATCCCAAAATAGTTTTGACTGGCCTGAGGAACATACGTGCAATATTGAAACTGCAGAGACACAAGCACCAAGAGATATTCCAGAGACATAGGACACTACAGGCAAGATAAGGCAAAAAAGATGGAGAATTGAAAAGATAGAAAACCACAGGAAGATCGGCACAGATGTTAAAAAGACGAAGAAGAAGAAAAAAATCTCCTGTTCTAATATTAACAAGGCTGTGTATGGAGAAAAACTGAAGAGGCCAGCACCAGAAAAGTAGAAGTAGGAGGAAACAGAGATGAGCAGAAAACAGGAAACAGTTTCCATGAGGGTAATATATTGTGGAAATGAACTCTGAGAACAGATAAGCTTGGATGGCACGTTCAATTCATTCCCACAGCTTAGATACAAGCACGACTCAGAAATAAACTGAGGAAGATGAATGTTCATTGTGACCATTTGCAACCAAGAACACCCATCTCCTAAGCTTCCCAATTACAAAGGTTTTTCAAGAGGAAGACAGACCTCCAGAATAGGAGCAGGCTGCACGTATGCGTAAGACAAAAAGGACGGCCAAGAGGATTGCTTTAGTATCATCCACACCAATACATCCCGCCTGTCTCACCTTCAGCTATGCTGTAAGTTTTTGCCAGATGAATTGACAGGTCTGTTGAAATGTACGATCAGCTCACTCTGTGCTGGACAGCTTGTCATGTCTGCTCATGTATGTCTGCATCATTCAGCTCTCACAGCAAAAACTTGCCACAGCCTCCAATATAGACACCTCTGAAGCGAGTGTCATCAATTCTCTCCTCAGTGACTGCTTTCTACTGTTTACATAAACCCTGGTACTACTGCAAAACCCTACATGTTTCATGGGTTAGTGCAAGACAGGAGATAACATCCCTCCCCTTGGTAATACTCTCAAAACCTGCAATATTCTCAGAAAAAGGAAAGCAACACAGAATAAAATGCCACAAATTTAATTTTATCCTTAATGCCAAAAAAAGCACTGGAGTAATATCAGAACAAATGGATTAAGGACTGAAAAAGTCAAAAGTCAGTGAATAAGATATTGTTCTTTTTTGGCTGAAATACACACAAAAAAGCACCTGCTAAACATTATCTAAGGCTGCAGTTAAATCCTACAGATGAGAGAAAGACATACACTGTGTGGCTTCAAGGTCTAGTCATGAATTAGAAAGCTCTTCCTCATGTGTGACCAGTTTCAAACCAGCCTGTGTTGATAGAGGTAACGACTGAGTGAACGTGGAACCAAGCCCGTCCTTCCTTCGCAGGCTGGTCTGACAGCTCGCAGCTGGAGCTTGCTCTCAGTGCGGCAGAGCGGCTCCTGCACAACCCTGCCCTGTGAGCAGGGTACTTCAGAACACACACCAGGCATGCCAGCAACGAGCTGAACTAAATGGGAATAGATGGCTTTGAGAGTACAGACACTGTACAGTCACTGTTCACAACCCCCATTTCAAGCCTCAACAAGAAGACCGTCCACTTACAGTTTTTCTGAAGTTGATCTTTTTTATTTCAGTTCTTGGTGACTAATGAGTATTTTTTTCCTTCCCAAAACAATTGTAGTTTATGAAGCCAAGCCAATATTGAGCAGGAATTCTGTTCAGGAGGCTCAGAAATACTCTCAGCTGATTT